GACGGCCAGGAAGGTGGCCAGCAAGAGGCTCTGAGGTCAAAGGATTGCTCAGCGCTGGTATAAATAACCTCAACCCCAACACGTGGGGCTGAACGGCAACCCCTGCCTAACGCGCCCCCAACACGTGGGGCTGAACGGCAACCCCTGCCTAACGCACCCCCAACACGTGGGGCTGAGCAGCAACCCCTGCCTAACGCAGCCCCAACACGTGGGGCTGCGTTACAAGAGGGGATGTGGCAGCTCATTTACCGCGCGCGCATGCAAGTATATTTGGTTCCCAATACGGGGAGGGGAATATGGGATCAGCAGAGGGCTGAGGGAGGGGGAAGGAGGGGAAGGCAGGAGGGGAAGGCAGGAGGGGAAGGCAGAAGAAGGCAGGAGGGGAAGGCAGAAGAAGGCAGGCGGAAGGCAGCAGAGGATATCAAATATCTTGATATTTGAGGGAACCTTAATGTGAGCATAAAGAAATTTACCGTAAAATAAATTTGAGTTAATAATCTAATTTAGCTTTAGTAAATTTTAATTTTCATTCAAACAAAACACCTTCCTGAGGTAGCAATGTATATATTCTCCATACGCACTTCTAATCAATCTTCATAAGAAAAAGGAGCGTCTATGAAGAAGTGAAGATAAAACTTGTAAGTCACACCGCAGCAGCTTCCTTGGATGCCACAGTGTTCTCGTGGGACTCTATCTTGCATTGATCAGAACTGAACGTCTTGAGTCCAACTCTACTAGTTTGTTGTAATATCTTCATCTCTGGAACTCTAATGGAGACAAAGCCTGCTACGCTAGCCGCCCCTAGGACTGTCGACTTCCACCCGCTCCATGTGACCCATCCGCAGCTGATCCTCAATCCATACACTGTAAGTCCGGCAGGAAGTACGTGCATTTCTATGTCCGTGAAGGTGTTTGTGAGGATCCTAAGCCGCTTTACGGCCTGTTCCTATAATAAAGACCATGTGCCTTATTTAGTTTTATTAAAGCAAAATGATAATCGATAACGAAGTAATAATTGATTAAACTGATTGCAACCATTTTATTTTATTAAATTGATAAAAAGATTGAAAAAAGGTCATAGTTTTACTGGCGCTAGAAAAGCTTCCCTATGTTCTATGACTATAATTGATTGATTATTCTGATTTATATTAAATACACCAGTGAGGTGACGACGTGGCTCTGACGTTATCCGTCATCGGCGCTTCGTTGAACGAATTTGGCGGGATTTGCACGTCCTCAAACAGCTGTATACCTTTTCATCTCAAGACTCGAATGAACAGGAGCGAAACATGGCCGAACATCCTTGAATAAACTTACTAATTTTGTCTTGAATTTTCTATATCTCGCCATAAGTTTTTCGTTAGAGGAAGGTATGACGGGAAGGCAGAAGAAAGCAGGTGGAAGGCAGGAGGGGAAGGCAGAAGAAGGCAGGTGGAAGGCAGCAGAAGAAGAGAAGGCAGGGGAAAGGCAGCAGAGGAAGGCAGCAGAGGAAGGCAGCAGAGGAAGGCACAGAAGGCAGCAGAGGAAGGCAGCAGAGGAAGGCAGCAGAGGAAGGCAGCAAGAGAAGGCAGGCGGGGCGACACACTTAACCTGATACGCGTTGGCCAGGAGCGTTGCCATGACGACGGCAGGCTGGCTATCAGTGAGGCGGGGAAACATAAAAAGAGGAAGAGCGAGCGGGGAAGATTGGAAGAGGAAAGAATTAAAAAAAGAGAGTTAATGAGACTACATAAGAAAGAGATAGCAAGAGAAAAAATAATCTAGAAATGAAGAGCCATGCAAGCTGAAGTTGTGCGCATAAAGTGCGAATAAATGGGATAATAAAGGAATATATTTCAGTAATATTTTACACATGTGGGATCAAATTGCGAGGAGAAAAGCGAACCGGAAAATAAAAGGAAGAAAGACTATCTAGGATGGAAGAGGGTTGGGTAGAACGAAAGTATATATAAACGTAGAGATAAAGAGCAAATAAATGCGAAGAGTTTGCGGAAAATAATAAAAAAAAAGAATATCTAGGATGGAAGAGGGTTGAGGGGGAGATATAAACGTAGAGATAAAGAACAAAAAAATGTGAAGAGTTTGAGAGCAGAGCTTGTCAGGAGAGCTAGTGGAGCTACTGGCGAGAGGGACAGCTCAGTGAACTCTCTATGGCGATCATATATAATTATAAAATTAAATGCTTATTATAATTTGAATTATATCATAATTGTTGAATCAAAAAGTTGCATAAACTATATTGACAAAAAGATTGAGCAGCCAATTTTGACAGCAATAACAAGGAAATTTATAGAATTTTACGAAATGAAGGTAAATTTAATTGACCATTTTTTGTGCTTTCAAATTTGTGGGGTTAGAGCATAGTTATAATATAACAGATTGACCACGTATAACCAACTATTACTTGCAACGCACGTCACGTGAAGCAGCCTTGTGAAGTTTGAAATAAAAGATCTAAGCACACAAATTGGCCAGCATTCGAGAATAATGAAAATTATTGCAATGTTGTAAAGTGTGAGGTATGCAGGCAGTGGAGATGTAAGGTATGCAGGAATGCTCAGGTATGCAGCAGTTGCATCTCACGTTCGGTCAGTCAGGCAGCTATAGATGCTGATGCACATATCAGCTCCAGTAACTAGCAGATGAGGAGCAATAAAATCATTAGCAAAAACAAAAGCATACCAACAACACCAATACACCAGCAACACAACACCGACACCCACAGCCCTCATAGTCACGCGCAGCCGGCAACGGATGGGGTGGATATGGCGGACATTTCGAACGAGAGAAGCAGCACCAATGATTTCACCACCAACACACCAGCACCACCAACACACCAGCACCACCAACACACCAGCACCATACTAACATACCATCAATACACAAGCAACACGGACAACACCATCACACCACATCACACTAACACACCATCAAGACAGCAACACACCAACACACCACCACCACACTAACACACCACCAATACACCAACACACCCACAACACACATGTGAGGACGCGCGCGTTAAAGCTGGCTTCGTATTATATGTTAAAGCTGCCGTGCCAATCTACGGCGCTCGGCAGCTTCAGGTTGTCCGAGTGTCTCCTGCGAGGCCTTCAATGTCGCGCCTCAGGACAACCATCGCCATCATGGCCACGGCCATCAGACGTCCATGTCACGGTCATGTAGCAGCCGCGTCACGGTCATTTTACGGCCGTGTTACGGTGTAGTCACGGTCATGTTACGGTGTAGTCACGGTCATGTTACGGCCGTCTTACGGTGTAGTCACGGTCATGTTACGGTGTAGTCACGGTCGTGTTACGGTATAGTCACGGTCATGTTACGGCGTGTTACTGTCTAGTTACGGCCATGTTACGGCCGTGTTACTGTCGCGTCACGGTCATGTTACGGCCGTGGTACGGTATAGTCACGGTCATGTTACGGCCGTGTTACTGTCGCGTCACGGTCATGTTACGGCCGTATTACGGTATAGTCACGGTCATGTTACGGCCGCTGTCGCGTCACGGTCATGTTACGGCCGTGGTACGGTATAGTCACGGTCATGTTACGGCCGTGTTACTGTCGCGTCACGGTCATGTTACGGCCGTATTACGGTATAGTCACGGTCATGTTACGGCCGTGTTACGATATAGTCACGGTCATGTTACGGCCGTGTTACGGTATAGTCACGGTCATGTTACGGCCGTGTTACGGTATAGTCACGGTCATGTTACGGTATAGTCACGGTCATGTTACGGCCGTGTTACGGTATAATCACGGTCATGTTACGGCCTTGTTACTGCCGCGTCGCGGTCAGGTTACGGCCGTGTTACTGCCGCGTCACGGTCATGTCGCGGCAGTGTTACTGTATAGTCACGGTCATGTTACGGTCTAGTTACGGCCATATCACTTTCATGTCAGGGCACGCCACTGAACTGGTACTATTAGGCCCGCTGCACGGGTCGTATAACGGCCCGCTGCACGGGTCGTATAACGGTCCGCTGCACGGGTCGTATAACGGCCCGCTGCACGGGTCGTATAATCAGTTAAATTTACAGGCGATCTATAGACCAACGCACGGCCACGTGACGGCCATAACACGGACAGTTAAATTTACAGGCGATCTATAGACCAACGCCCGGCCATAACACGGACAGTTAAATTTACGGGCGATCTACCGACCAACGCACGGCCATGTGACGGCCATAACACGGACAGTTAAATTTACGGGCGATCTCCCGACCAAAGGCACGGCCACGTGACGGCCATAACACGGATTCGTACAAAATAACTCATTGATGAGATGGAAGTACTCATTTCAGCATAATATTATCAATTGAATTTTGAAATTATTCAGACAATTGAAATTTTAATGCTTCGAAGAAAATCTCATCTTATGCAACGATGATATTACAGAATATGGAGCTTCCTGGCGAATAATAGACTCGTGATGTTCTTCTCTGAGAAGCAAAACGTGCAACATAAGTCTGGCCTCAGTTATTTAAGCAGGCTACAATCACGGACGCTGGAAATTATGTATATTAAGAGTGGGAAAATGGGGAATGGATAATTTAACCGAGTTTGTACCTTCGAACCAGTAATGAATGTGCAATATTGAAGCCGTACGCACCGCCCCCAGGCCTCAGGTCAGGAGCGAGGATCTAATTTATATGCTAATGATGTAAGCCAAGCCAATAGATATGCACGGCAATACAGCAGCTGCGGCGATATATTAGCTACGCAGCCCATGCATTTATTGCATCGCAAACACAACAGTAGGAAATGAAATGATATTTACACATCGATATCCTCTTACTGTGAGGGTGGGACCATTCACAGTAACTCTGGTGCATATTTCGTTAAATAACTGTCAATCCTGGTATTTATGTTAAAAAATATAGAGGGATCATTTATGTAATCAGTAAAACATGTACTAACAATCCGAAACGCTGCAATTTTAATTGCATTTAAAAGCTGTAATCTCTAATGGTAATGCTATTGTCATGAGGACTTGGCAGCAGCGAGTGGCCTTCACTTTCCAGCACCACAGCATCACGCAGCCTGCACACTCCGGCATCACACCAACATACCCCGGCACCACACTAACACACTCCGGCACCACACTAACACACTCCGGCACCACACTAACACACTCCGGCACCACACTAACACACTCCGGCACCACACTAACATACCCCGGCATCACACTAACACACTCCGGCATCACACCAACACACCCCGGCACCACACTAACACACTCCGGCACCACACTAACACACTCCGGCATCACACCAACATACCTTGGCATCACACTAACACACCCCGGCACCACACTAACACACTCCGGCATCACACCAACACCTGTCTCTTATACACATCTAGATGTGTATAAGAGACAGCCCCGGCATCACACCACAACACCCCGGCATCACACCAACACACCAACACACCCCGGCATCACACCAACACACCCCGGCATCACACCAACATACCCCGGCATCACACCAACACACTCCGGCATCACACCAACATACCCTGGCATCACACTAACACACTCCGGCATCACACTAACACACTCCGGCATCACACCAACACACTCCGGCATCACACCAACACACTCCGGCATCACACCAACATACCCTGGCATCACACTAACACACTCCGGCATCACACCAACATACCCCGGCATCACACCAACACACTCCGGCATCACACCAACACACCCTGGCATCACACTAACACACCTCGGCATCACACCACAACACCCCGATATCACACTAACACACTCCGGCATCACACCAACACACCCTGACATCACACCAACACACTCCGGCATCACACCAACATACCCTGGCATCACACCAACACACTCCGGCATTACACTAACACACCCTGGCATCACACCAACACACTCCGGCATCACACTAACACACTCCGGCATCACACCAACACACTCCGGCATCACACCAACACACTCCGGCATCACATCAAGACACTCCGGCATCACACCAATACACTCCGGCATCACACTAACACACTCCGGCATCACACCGGGAAATACTTCGTTTGGCGTGTCATGACCAAAAAATGCAAGCAATATATACGAGCTAGCAATGTGTGCAAGGATGCTGGAAAACGGAAACGGAGGAAGGGAGAGCAATCCGTTCACGGCATAAACGACTAGCAACCGTTGTGCATGAGGCTGTCCGCTGCGTTGTATGGGCAACAGGCAAATGCACTGGGGGAAAACATGGAAAAAATACTCCATTGCTGTCGCTTGAGAGCTACAGCAATGACCGAACGATGGCAGTAGCACGGCATGGTAACAATGACAGCTTAGACTTGCATGGTCCAACTCACGCTACGCATTTGCGAGTAAACTTGTAAATGCAGAGCGTGGTTTTTTGCGGCGTACAAGTTTTTTTGATAGGCGTATCGTTTACTTTTTTCAGGTTACACTTGGAGTTTCAGCTTTGTTCAAGTCAAGCACCTCTATATTTGCAAGTATTGCGTACTTCCCGCATTGCTTCTAGAATTTTATTTATTTGAAATCACTTTTCAGCATTTCAGTCAATTTACTTCTCAACTAACGTCGGCAGCATCTTCTTTAATTCTGGAGTCCCCGCTACACGATATACGAAGTTTACATAAAAAATATCCCAACAAATACCGAACGTAATTATTTGTGATATTTCATTACACAGATTTTATAACAACCATGAAAATGTTCTTGCTTTACTCTGCCGTTTTATTCAATTTTTTATCGTTTTTTATTCATATTTAATATTTTTCTTCTACTTTATAAGTAACTTGCATTTAATACATGAGATACCAACAGCAGCTATTGGCTCGAAACAAAATATCTTCAGCGTCAAATAACATGCAATACATTCAGACTGGAGCGAACTTTGCAAGCCCATATAATGTCATATTGATTTCTTATTTTAATTCCCACATTTCGGTTTAAATAACTATAGGAACAAGAAGGGACTCAAAGAGAGAAAAAAAGGAGAGGTCAGGTCTAAACATCAAAGCACTTTTAGCACTTGCATAGGTTGTCCCGACCCAGTTTGAAATTACCGGATCCGTCGGAGTTTCAGGTAATTTATATACTCATTGTTATTAACACCCATCTTATTTAGTCTACGGAAAATAAACCCAGCATTTAGTTTACTTTCGCGACATCGCATGTCTTGGAAAATACCCTTGACCCATCAGTAGACAAAATGACAGAAAAATGCACACATAAATTACTTGAAGCTAATAATTAATTTTTTATGATCTTAAGGATTGTATTAAACAACGGCACTATGTTAGAGGAATATGGAGGAAGATGAATCTCCATATAAAGTAGCAGATGCAAAATTTTAATACAACAAAGGCTGTAGCAAAAGTTTCTGGCCCGTAATATGAGTGTAAAGAGACACATACAATGAAAAAGTTATTCTCATGCCGCAAGCTGGCACGCAGCCATGCTTCGCTCAAAGATCATATGAAAACATAGACCTAAGAACATGACGCGTGAGGTCATCAAACACATAATTTGATCATAACTGCAGGCATATCTGCAAATTTTATCACAGCAACAAACAATTCGGTCTTGCGTGAGGGCACAAGCTTCAAGAGTTGTTAGTTTACAACTCATGTATGTGCTGCCAATCGCTAATTATAAATGTTTTAAATTAATGCTTTAGTGACATCAATGTAAACGCCGCAAGTGAAAGCAGACAAACCAGCCTACCTACGCGATGGGGTCAGTGGCCGACAGCCTGCACGAATTCCAGCCAAATTTTCGTTCCCTCTCGATAGTCCTCCCCCACTCGACAGTCTCCTGTCAGCCCCCTCTACTCCCCCAACAGTCTCCTGTCAGCCCCCTCTACTCCCCCAACAGTCTCCTGTCAGCCCCTCTACTACCTAAACATTCCCACTCTCATTCGCCCTCCACTTCCCGAACCCACCCCTCCTTCACCACTTCCTAAACGTACTACGTATTTTCCCAATTTATTAAACGGACCTTCCCTGCAGCCCTTCACGCGGACCTTCTCTTTCTCACTTTATACACGAACTTTTCTACTTCCATTCTCTAAATGGAACATTCTAATACCACTCATTTACTGTAATACCTCTCATTTCAATCTCTAAACTTACCTTTCCATTCTCGCTCGGTAAACGGACTCAACCTTCTCCCCTCACTCAACATATCCCTACTTCTACCTACTTTTCAATCAGACGTGGTTTGATCTCGTCACTTCATGCACGTGAAGTAAATATTCAGGATGGATCAATGTTAAGTTTAGTTTTTCAAATTTTTTTAGAGAAGTGGTATAATCCAATAAACCTATTGATAAATCCGTCGATACAACGAAAAAAAATTTCAGATAGCGTCTCAAATTAGAGACAATGCGTTCAAGTCCAGTTTGCGATCGAACAATTGAAACGGAAGCAGCTTTTTATAAAAAGTCGAGTCGGAAGTCTGTTCCAAATAACGAAATGCTGACAGAAGAGCAGTTGGGCCCCCCAAAGAAATGATTTCTAGAGCAGCAGGTCAGTGCAAAATATCTCAAGCAAACGTTTGGGGAAAAATGTTTTTACAGGCGATACTCCAGGAGTGCAACATATTAAGTACTTGGTGAGATGAAGTCCCGCATAGTAGGAGTGTGAAACGAAGTTAATAATTAAAAAAAATTACTGAGTTAAAGTTTAGCATCTAGGCCAAATTGCTGAGGCTGTGAAGCCTTGTTAATCAAATACTGAAATTATTGAAGAATAAAATAATAAATATTATATTTTGGACTGCTATGAAGACAAAAACTAGTAGTCAAGACAAGTATTGCCATTGAAATGCAAAGAATGAGAGGGAGGAAAAGTAAATGTGATGAAGAACAAGCACGTCAGACACGGTCGCGGAAAGAGGAAGTAAAGCAAAAGAAGAATATCTGCAGAGACACGGTCGTCTTCTCTGGCCATTTCGGCCCGATAATGGACGAAGATTAGCCCAACGCAGAGACCGAAACTTGGACCATCGCCAGCACCCCCCGCCACCCCATGGGGTCGATATCTGGGCAGGTGAATATGACGTAAACACTGGAAATGTCTTCAGCGAGACGGGTGAACATGACGTGAACATTTGGTCAACGTGAGGGTAAGTGAATATGACGTAAACATTAGGTCAACATGAGGGCAGGTGAACATGACGTGAACATTTGGTCAACATCAGGGCAGGTGAACATGACGTGAACATTTGGTCAACATCAGGGCAGGTGAACATGACGTGAACATTTGGTCAACATGAGGACAAGTGAACATGACGTTGTAGCGGGAGGATTAGCTACATATAAGCATATAGGGTTTCTGACCGTGGGCCCGGTGACACGTGGATGGTATAAAACAATTCAAAGAGTATTTCAGGCTGAAATATATATTTTCAGATTGAAGAAAAATTCTACCGTCGATAATGCCCACTTGAATTAGTATTTAATACTAATAACGGATGATATTTAGTGACGAATGGTACGATAATAGTAGGAGAAGGTTGGCTCCAGACTAAGTGCAGCCATCTACGGAAACAGTTCTGCATCAACATCATTCTCTCCGGTAGATTTTTAAGAAGTGCATCAACGAGAAAACATTGAACGTTGTGCGTTCCAAGTGCGGGCAATAGTAGGCCCGCTACAATGTGGATATGTAGGGAGACAAATAAGCTAAATTAAACGTAATGATGGTCAGCATAAAGTCTACCAATAGAGTACAAACAAATGACCATCAAGAAACAGAGTCCGTCTAGGAAGCTCGAGATCCAGAGTACGCTCGAGAAGTCCCCAAGAGGGCCACTACACCCTCAGCGTGAAGAGCGCTCTTCGTCCGTTATTGCTGCTAAGTTTCCATGAAGCTCGTAATGGGTCCATGAAGCACGCTTAGGGTCCATGGAGCATGCTTAGGGTCCATGAATCAAGCTTAGGGTCTATGCAGTAAGCGCACAACAAAGACCCTTTGTTCTGTCGGGCTCGAAGAGTCGCTCCGTCTTTGACTCAGCAATTGTCTGCAGCTCGGTGATGAGCGTCGCGGCAACAGCAGTAACTATTTTTGAAGCCGCCTTATGCCGGCCGTGAGCTTCAAGCAAAATCGATGTGTATTTGAAAGTGAAATGCGGTCCGTTGCGGGTTCCAGGTGAACGAGTTATGCGAATCCCGAAGAAATACAGCGAGCAACGAGCCTTTGTTGAACGCGATGTCAGAAGCGAGAAAAATACAGTAGACATGGTCCGTCCTAAATATGGAACAACTCCTGCGTCTAGAACGGACGGCTCGAAGAGGTTACTTCCCCCCTAAAATTAAAAATTAAAAGCACTGTTTGGGAAAGTTGACAATTATGGCACGTAACTTCAGTGTGTGCTATTGTGTACAAGCAGTCGCACGGAACAGGAGGAGGATGGCGAGGAAAAAGAGCGACTGAGACTCCTAAGTGGCAAAAGAGCGGCGAGAAAGCGGGACAAGACTGACAAGAGTTCAGCGACAGAGGCACGCGAGCGGCTGAAGAACGACACGAGAGAGACAAAAGAGTGTCTCGAGAAAAGCTCAAGGGCGGCATTAGAAAGTAAGGAGAGTGGCGCAAGAAAGACGAACAATAGCACGAAAGGCACGAATGCGGCACACGAATGGCATGGAAGCAACACACGAGTGGATGGGAGTTCCGTAATCGCAAAAGTTGTCTCGAATTAGGCGATGCCTAACGAGTTAACTTGGCAGCTGAGGAAGGAACAACCGAGCATCCCCGGGCTGTAATGAAGACTTGCGATCCATGAATTTCAGACGAGCGCATTAGAGCTCAGTTAATTTATTGGTACATTAACGGGACTTCAGTTCCAAAGCTCGACTCTAAGCCGAAGTTCATGAGGAAGCAGACTACAGACTTGGAGTTTGAACGACAAAGAGTTGAATTTTATAAATACAATAGCTTATAACCAGATGAAACCAGATGATTTGCCATTGTAAATATATCGGCACATAACAATGCATTTTCAAGTTCTTAACCGTGCGCCCATGTAGGTATTGTTTCTCCTATAACGGCTATTCTAAATTGG